TGCCGTTGCTTTGATCACTGGTAGGGCACCGTGCTCGACCGCTCGACCCATGGTGGCCACATGATTCCAAAAACACCATGCCCTCATGATGTTCATTTGGGCGCGACGCGCTTGGCCTGAAGAATCAACCAAGAATCACTGACCTCAAAAAGGTGATTCATTCGCCGGCGTTCTGCGGAGGCCACCGCGCCCCCTTGATGCACTCATTTTCGTTTCACGTGGAGCTCGGCCTGAAACATAGGCGGGCAACCCGGCTTTTCAATTGAATAGCTCCATATGTTCAGCTCCGTGCTCGTCAGGCTTGGCAGCCACGAGCGATGAAAAGGTCTGATGGAGTGCAGGGGTAACAATCCTGCTAATTATAAGTGGATGTTATAAGTGGTTACCCTGCAGCAAGCACTTTGACTGGATGTTTGCAGTGATATAGTTCCTGTAGCACATGTTAGCACTGCAACTCTGAGGTTCAAGGTAGTTCTGTTTTTGCAATTCTGTCGGCGTAGAAGAGAGAGTTTCCCTGAAAGAGATTTGCCTGGGTCAACCTGCCTGGTTGACCTGCTGGACCTTTGCATTAGTCGCCCAAGGGGGACTACAGTAGGGGGTCTGGATGGATCATAAATGGATCGTGGATTGATACTAACAATATCTAAAAATTATACGCCTGCTGCTTGGATTTGCAAACAGTACAAGCAGTAGGCCCAGTCTTGAGTGCTTAAGACGTATCATCCGATTGAAAGTCGTATCGCTGTGAGCTGTGCGCTAGGCCGCTAGGTAAGGTTGTAGTTGTACTTTAATCCGTTGTGTGCGGTCCCAGAAGCACGGTGTCTCACGGTGGAAACTGGGGAAGTACTTTGATGTCGATCTAGAGAGCGACACCCCGGGTAGGTGAGATAGCTTGATAAGTTTTGAGGTGCTTGGAGGATGACAGATGCGACTGCAGTTTATGGCTCCAAGAGGAAGGGAGCGCAAAGCAGGCTCAGGCCGCCCACATGAGCTAGCAGCGAGCTTCTTGGCAACAGTTAGAGCCTGAACTTGGTCCTGGCCCAGTTGGTACAACACTAAGGAGGCCGCTACTGGTCGAGCCTGCTCGGTCGAGGCATGGTTTTTCATTTTGACTGACCGTTCGTGCCTTGTGCTGCGACAGTGACAGGGTCCTGCACTGGTGCCCATTCACGTCATCTACATCCATGGCGGAGGAGAGCAAAGCAAAAAAGTTGTTGACAGTTTTTCAATGGTTGTCTCTACCCTTCATCAGCCATTTCGCACTGGCCAGAATCACATGACTCGAATCAAAATGTTCAGTGTGGCTGTGTTTCACCAAGAGCTAGGGTCAATATAGATAATATAGGGCCAAGCTTGGTCGGTGCGGAGAATATTATCATAGACTGAGAATGCAATGGCTTTGCTCTGCCCAACATCGCAACACGCATAACGCAAAGGCTTATCGCGACATTCTCAATCACTTATTCGGCAAAGTCCAGAGCAATCAAAACAAGGCCGAACAGTTTTGTAACTGGCTCGGGCAGAAGCTTCATGATGTCTCGCCCGACAAATGCCGTGGTTGCACAAGCTTTGAACACCTTGGAATGCTTCTTTTAAGGTCTCCGCTCTATACACTAGTTCTCATTTGATCCTCCAAATCTGACCTCCCCAATGAATAAACATCTCCTGTCGCCTGAACTTGGCTTGCATCCTTCAATTAAAACCAACTACACTACAGTAATTGGTGAAGTCTATATTGCGCAGAATGAAACACAGGGTGCTGCCATTTCACCAGAAGATCAAGTCTGTGAGATGGGCGCTGATAGCGGACGGCAACCGCCGCTTCGCTTCCAACCACGCAGACGTATACCGAAGAGACGAAGAGACCACGACTCATCAAGACGTTAAAGGATGGCAACGCGTACCATCAGGGTTTCCAGAAGAACACATACAGTACTCAGAACCTGAAGGAATTTTGAGAACCAATCAGTCTGAGTCTCAAGGCCCACAATTGCTGTCAAGAGTATACCAATTGTGGGTAGAGTGGGAGTACAGTACCAGGCCTAGTGGTTCGCTTTTCAGGACAAGTCGGTGCAACAGGCACAAGCAAGTGCTACCAGGCAGGGATTTGTGCCTTCATCGCAGGCGTACTCCTTGAGTGAGCGATCGTTTGTTCTCGAGGCTTCTACAAAACTCGCCTGGATTCGCCGAAAAGCTGACATCTCAGAAGAACCCTGCCAGGCCGAAATCGTTTTTCAAAGGTCCGAAATCATCATCATCCGACACCCTCAAGGAGGGTCACGACTTTGCTGCGCAGGAATGCTTCCATCAAGAGTGACGATCGAGATGCCATGATTGCGGACCACTTTGTCGCTTCTTTGTGTCAACTTAGCCAAAAGTCGACAATCAACTTGCTGAGCTTTCCAGAAACGTGTCTCAAAGGAGAAAACTCACGGGTTGAAGTATGATTGGTGTGGTCAATCATTCGGATCCTTCTTTTTCTTGGGCATCGCAGGAATTGCAGAAGCAGCTGGATGAGGAAAAGAACAAGAATCGAACGCTTGAAGATCAGTGGAGTCCTTGGACAGGTTGTCTTGAAGATCATTGCGCTGTCTACTGTACGTGGACTCTTTGTCTTGTAGACAGACAGGGAAACTGGATGAGCGATCCCGAAACCGTGTTATCCTATGGAATTCTGCATTTATTCTGGGGGATACGGGGCTGTTGACCTATGTCGAAAGCCATGCTTGTCTGGATTTATTGTTTTGTGAATGAAGTGAGCAAGGATACACAACAAAAAAGTGCCGATCGCCAGGTACAAGCATCGAGTTGCATCTTTTGCACGCCCTGGCCTGTTTTTTTCCTTTTCACTTTGTGTGACTCACACCTGAATTAGTTTCCATGTTTTCCTGGAAGAATTCTTCCCTTCAACAAGTTGCAGTGGCAACCTTTGCCAGGTGAAGCGTGAGAAAGCCACGATGAAACTTTGACAGCAAACCTTGGGTGGGCTGGGTGATCCAATTCTGATCAATTCCTCGTTTGGAGTCACCAAGAGCAAGGACATACCAGACATATATGAGCGACCAGGGTCCTTGAGAATTTCAGGTCATTCAAACGCACAGTGGCCAAGAATCTTTGCCCGCAGCTGTGCTTATGGATCGTGGTTTTCCCAACTTCAAGTCTTCAATACGGTGTAACAAGAGGCCGGTTTGGGGTACCAAAAAGCAGGTTTGGTACCCCACAGAGCGTTGTGACGACATTCTTAAGATGCCGACATTTTCCACAGACCCATGGATGCAGGGAAGCTACTTACATTCAGAAATGACAGGGCAACCCCAGTAGCTTGTTTGAGCTGTGATTTCATTCAAAACACAGTCGGCCCTATTATTTGGCCATGCAAATGCCGATTTGCTTGGTGATTTGCTGAGAAAGATTGTAAGCATGTGTTGAATCCTATGATCACTGCTTTGTTGTTCAATGATGTTCAATGATGTTCCATGTAGATCAAGGCTTTTAAACGACAGGAGTACCATAAGAAGCTACCCTTCTTTATGCATCCTGTTCATCACAGACCAAGCGGCTATGAGTCAAAACTCCGCGACCCTCATTGACTCTGGAACCAGAATAGCTTCTCGGTCCCGAAACAATACGTTGCCCCAGATTGGGCTCTGTTCCTACCGAGTTGATTCAGATGTCTACTGAATATCAGACGGTGCTCACTTTGGATCACCCAGTTCTGCGTCCTTCGGGTGCTTTGGCCTCTCAGGAACAAGATCGAGGCACTGGAGAAGCGCTTGCTGGAAGGTGCCGAAAACGACGAACACAGCCAGGGACCCCAGTGCACCGCCCTCTTTCTCCGCGTTTTTCCGGGAACCCGCACCGGGTGCTGCTCGATGACGCTCGTGTGCTGTGCTGAGTGGCAGTGGAATTTCTGAGGCAAGCGCATGGAAGCGATTGGCAACATGCATAGAAGTGCAAGGAGCCTGGACATGCTTTGATGAATTTACATTTGATCACCCCCACCCCCCCATCCCAACCCAACAACATCAATCAAACACAGAGCATCTGTGTTACATGGTACTGTGGAAGCAATGATCAAAAAGAGATCATCATGTAGATGAATGTCCAGACGGACGTTATTAACACGAGCATGTGTGTGGAGACCTGACCCAACGACACATCATGAAAGAATGACATATCGTGTACACATCACATCAAATCAATTTGTGTGTGCGCAGGTGAGCGAAATCTGTGTGCGCAGGTGAGTTTGAGGTATCAGGCACAGCTTGAACAATCATGTAATCGATGTGTGTGCGCAGGTGAGCGAATCCTGTGTGCGCAGGTGAGTTACTTGTATCAAGAAATGCTGTGTGTACAGCTGAGCGAATCTTGCGTGTGCAAGTGAGGCGCCATCTGGGTCAGGGGAGTGTGTGGTCCCACCAATTGATTTGACCGAAATTCAGAAGGTGGCGTGTGTACCTAAAGCAAGCAAAGTGCCCCACTGCTCCAAAGACTTACTAGTAGCAAGAATGCTACTAGTAGTAATGCCCTTTGTTACTAGTGGCGATGCCCTTGCTCCTAGTAGCCTCTTGTGACTAGTAGTAATGCCAGGAGCTACTAGCGTCCTTGCTCCTAGTAGCGATGCCCTTTGTTCCTAGTGGCGTCCACAAGTGTTTTTGCATCAAAAGTCAAGGCCCGACCAACCTGTAAACGTGCGAAAGACCTCTGCAATGTGTTTTTTCACAGACGAGGGAGCTCCCACGGACGTGTTTTTTAAAGTAGTTCTTTTTAAAAACCTGTGCTCCGAGGTGATCACAGGTCTTGAGTGCATCCAGACCAACACAGCCAAGATTCTTCAGGCGCAGCGAAGCCCCGTAGAGGGCAGCCCCGTATGGTCTCACAATTGAACACTCTTCTTCTTCAAACACACACACACACATTGTCAACCTCACGCATCACCAGTCTTTCCGTCCAGCTGCGGAATTTGAACAAACCGCGCCCAGGATCAAGAGAAGGACTTGATGCGAGCCTTTAGGGCTCGGCTGCAGGAAGTGTCAAAGGACAGCGCGTCTAGTTGCAATGGACAATACTTTCTTTGTTTTGCATGACGACAAGAAAACGTGATTTTATTTTGATTGATCAGTTGTTTTTTTTCTTCGGGGTGACCTGTTTAGATCGAGGACCTGGAGGCTCAACGTAGCCGAAAGGGCGAACACTCCACGGAGTCTGGGTCCAAGATTTGGATGAACAACTGCGACATCAAAACGCACCAAATTTAACCAGAGTGGGACAGGGAATCCAGGACACACTTCTTTTTGTTCTTTCTTGTTATCGTTTTTGTTAATATTCACTCGGGGAACATGCAACATTAAGCATATTTTGTTCAGAGCCTGGTTTTTTCGCGATGTGTTGCCAAGGCAGCAAGCACATCATCGCCGAGTTGTTGGGCGCTCAGCCTTGCTCATGCCTTGCGAAAGCATGGGAAGTTGCTTGCGCACACTACCACTGAGTGAAAACCCCCACTCGAACGTTGTCGAGCGTCTGGTCGACCCTGGTTGCACCCAGGTTGCTGAGCTGCACAAGACCCAGGAGAGGGGGTTGCTTCCAGCCCGCAAAGCTCGAGAGCCGAGACCAAAAAAAAACACACCTCGCTCTCGTCTCCGTGTTCGACACTGATTGCAAACACAGCCACCTGCAGTTGTGGATACTTCATGGTCAGATCTTGACAGCAACGTCCAAATTCTGATTCTTTGATTTTTATTGGGCGACGTCGCAGGAGCTGGCGCAGACCTTTGACAAGAAGAACCAGCAACTGACAGCCGAAAATCAGAAGCGTGATGCTTAATCATCCCATTACAATTATGCTTGGTTTTCTCAGTTTTTCTCGGTTCTCGGATTTTTGTGGAGGCACAGCCAAGCACCGCCCAGGTTCTTATAGATTCTTCCTATCGTCCCCCGTCCGACGAAGGCTCCAGGAGAAGCTGCGGACCCGCGAAGATGATCGACAAGCGCTCTTGCGAGAGCTGGTTCTATCGAGGACGGGTGAATCGCGAGTTTTCAGTTGCTTGCACATGTGTTTCCCGACCCAATTATATGTGTAATGGATGTGCGTGACTTAGATATCTTCGCACTGTAAAGCACAGGAAAGAGGTGCAAGCTCTGAAGCAGCAGCTGACTGGCAAAGAGAGCGCCTGAAACTCAGACCAAGTATATAAACATAATTAAACATATTTTAAAGCAATGTATATATATATAGCACCATTGTCCAACCACGCACCGGAAGAGTCTGTGGGCGTCAACACACCTTTGAATCACCTGTGACTTCTTTGTATGTCATGTTATCCCCAAAAAAGATCAAGCTCGAATCAAGCTGGTGACCTGGTGTGGATCGTAAGTCAAAAAATCCTCCAACATTGGGGTAGGGGTAGATGAAAATGATGGAACATCCTTCATTCAGACTCGCTTCTTTGAGTTTTGACCCAAACAGATGGGCTGAGTAGATGAGCCGAGTTTTAAATCTCAAAGAGCACTCCACCAATTTGTTGTGTGTCCTTCACCTCCATCCCCACGTGCCAGGCAGAACCGGAGGCGCAGAGCTCCACCGAGACAGAGAAGCCTCGAAGGCTCCGACATCCACGGTCGTTGGGCAGATGCAATGGGTCAAAGGGTCGCACGTGAGGTTGGAACACATAAGACGCATGCACGTGCTACTCAGCTGCTACTTCTTTTTCAGTTGAGCCCCTGGTCGAAGGGGAAGAATCAACAAGTACTGTATCAACAACCAACCTCTTGAGCCAGGGTTTCCTTATCCCACTATATACACACCAATCATCACCAATGTGTCTTGAGGCGGAGCTACTCGCAGAGGCAAGTTGACCAAGCTCGGCTCCAGCAAACGCACCGCACCCAGACGGCCCAGACGTACCCAGACGTTGTGGTGTTTTCTGGCAGCAACAGCCATGACATCATGCGCTGAGGCATAACAAGCAGTATGAGCGGGAGGTGGAGCTTCACCAGCGCTGCTTCTGAAACAGATTTCAGGATTCTCTGTGCCAGGTGGCACTGAGAGAAGCAGCGCTCAAGCTGAAGCGCATGGTGGACTCCGCACTTGGCTCAGCAGATCTGTCGCACTTGGCTCACAAGTAGAACATGCTGAGCCAAGTGGTGTTCTCCCAGCCCAGGGGGCTGTTGTTTTCTGTGTTTCCGGATATGCCGAACAACAACCTGTTGTAAACACCTAGGAGCGCCGGACAGTCACTGCCTTGAAGCAGCAACAGGCATGGTGAAAACGAACAAAGTCGGATTCAGAAACTGCACTGTATTCAGAAACTTGTCTTCAGAAACTATTTCGTTGTATTCAGAAACTCCTGTATTCAGAAACTATTTTCGTCGTGAGTCGTATTCAGAAACTATTTTCGTCGTATGGTGAAAACGGGCTACATCACGCCTACAAGATGCTGGCAACGGCACTTCTCCCTTTAAAGACGATTGACTAAGAGGAAACAGTCTTTGTTTCAAGAAGTATTTGCCATTTGAAGCTAAAACATGCTAGAATTTGAATGTGCAGAGCTTGATGCTTACTATGCCTTGCCAGTGTTCGCTAGGCTGAAATGTTGCAGCAACGCACAGAGTTGGAAGTGTTGCTGCGACAGAGCCTAGACGATGTCAAGGCAGAGGTCCTGCGGCCTTGGTCTCAGATCTGACATTTGTAGATTCGGGGTATATATGCTGTATATATTGATTTATTGTAGATTTATTGTCTTTCATTAGTTCTAATTTTTACAGGCCGCTCTGCCTCCCTACTTCCCTACTACTCAATTAAGTAGGCGCCTACTTAATCAAAGAAAGGGCTAAGGCAGCTCCTAGGTAGGATGCAGGATAGCTCACACTTACTTGAAGAAAACGCTCGCACCGTTCATGTGGTTCCTAGGTTTGTAGGAAAAAGTGTCGATAGCATAAACATATCGACATCACACAGCATTCTTCAAGCAACAGCATGGCCATGACTCGGGCCACGCTGCCTCGCACTACGCTGAGGACGAGGGCTGTTGCCGAGGGCCAGGACGGTCGCTGGGGTCCGCGTGTCTGAACAACGCCCATTTCTCTAGGACTCTAGAACAGTTGCCTTCTTCGAGCAACTAAGTAACTCGAAGGCCATGTGATTCCTGTCGACAATCGACAGCTCTCAGCAATCGACAGCAGTGAGGTTTTACCATGGTTTTACGATGTTTCCTATTCTTCGGCGTATGCTTTTCATAGACTGAGTCTTCCATGATTAGATGGCTGGTAGTCCTCAAATGCAAGATTTGCCTTTCACATTTCTTTGCTTTCTCCTTTAAACCAGTCGTTGTGCTTGGCTTCGCCGTGCTCGGTCCGTGCTCGGTCCGTGCTCGGTCTCACCAGGATCCCTCGACTTCGCCTGGAGGAACCGGTCCGCCGTATCCGCCTTTATCATCTGTGCCGGTCCTCCTCAGCGATCGAAGAACCGAAACGAAACCACTGGAGCGACGAGCGAAGTCTCTGCGGGTGGAGGGTGAGCACCTGCTCCCGAGGTCGGTGCATGAGCTCAATGCACAAGACCGGGAAAGGGTCTGGAGCTTGGGAAGGAGAGGAGTGTTGTCTTATGAAAAGCAATGAAGAGAGCACTACCCCCTACTACATTCTTCACATCTATCAAGCAGAAATCAAGTAGGTGTGCCAGCATCAGATCTCATCAAAATATGACCTCGGAAAGAGTCTCGAGTCGACACCTGATATAAAATGGTTGCCTGAAGCTGCCCAAAGCTTGTTGCTCCGTGGACATGCTATGGATGCTAATACCAAGACCGTAGTCTTGAACCTTTGGCAAGTTTGCCTGCAAGGTGCTGGAGTTGCTTCTGTCACAGCAGCGCGTTGCGGGAGCCTTGAAACAACACATAGAACAGAAGCATTGTTTGTTTGTGACAAAAGCCTTGCTGGTCGCAACAGATGTTTGGCTTTTGGATGTTTGGAGCGTCTTCGAAGTGTCTCTTCAGCCAACTGTCATTCCAGGTGCAGCTGCTTTACCAGAAAACTTTCCCACAGGATGTGGCGAATCCTCCGGTGCCTTGGCCGAGCGTGCGAAGCAGGAGGATGGCTGTGGAAAAAGTCATGACACATATCGACACGTTTACTTCAGTCAGGGTAAAACTCTGCTAAACTCTGCTATGCCTTGCTCGCAGCCATGCGCGCCAAGGCTTCAGCACCCTCCCAGAGTGCTTGGACCTTAGAACCAGGGGCATTTTGGAGACCTTCACAGGTCAAAAGAATCAAAGGCGCCTTCGCCAACTTTTAAAGCTTTCTCACTTTCGCCAGCTCTGACAACTCTGTCACGCATTCCTGTTTCCTTGCTCAAGGCCACTGCATCTGGCGATGATTTTGCATGGCTAGGGGATATCATCCCTTCTGATGAGGGTTAATCCAACCCAATCGCAAGAAAAGTCAAGCAGTCTGATGCGGGACATCGACAGTGTGACGCTGAACAGACTCGGTTTTCTCGACCTGTTTTTGCTTTCACCTCCAGACACGCGTTGCTTTCCCTCGTGTCCACTCTTTTGCACGGAGTACTTGACACGCAGCACATGAGAGTAGTGTGACTCGTGGGACGTGGCATGTTTCGCCAGGAAATTGCGCAAGAAACAATGCCAGTTTAATTTGCTGTGCTGCTGTTGGATGTTTCGCAAATGGAATCAGCGCAAGACTGGCATGTTTCACTTTTCAGATGTGTCACGCCAAGGTCTCACCAGAAAATACATGTACGCGACACACAAAGAATTCACAGACAACATCGCATGTTTTAGTCTTTGGCACAAGAGAAGCTCGTAAACCATAGTAAACCCTTTGTTGCAAAAGACATCAATACACATATATCAGGCTGAAGCACATCAAAACACTCAAAAAAGCAACACAAGGTCCATGTTATTGCCTTGCAAGTCTGAACGCCCGATGACGTGTCAGGCTTTTGCCCCCCAAAAAAGCGCCGCTGCGTGTTTCTTGTTTTCTGCGCGCCCTTGGACATCAAGGAAGTTCCGAAGTAAGTTCATTTTGACCCTTTGACGCTGAAAAGAGCGTGTCCTTTTGTGCCGCACCAGTCGAATGTCTCAGTCGCAGTCGCTGCTTCAGCGCTTCACCGGAGCCCACCTCGCTCGTCTGCCGACGTCGCTCACATGGTGCGACGTGTACGCCGAGTCAATGACTCGGCTCTGGTGGCTCGGAGCCTGGGACTCGGAGCCATGTGACATGTGAGATTACAGTCGTTTCAGAGCAGGCACTGGCACCCCCAGAAGTCCTTTGAGATTTAGATGGGGGTTCATATGAACACCAACCTTGGGGATTGCATCGAACCTCTGAAACCACAATCTATGAATCTATGATATAGTTGGTACTGGTAATCAAAAAAACTGGACGCAAATGAGCAGGTACTGAATGGTTTGGGAGCTGCAGGAGCTGGAAGAGGGAGGGGGTGGCACCGAAAAGTGCGCCAAGAAGGGCAATGAACGGCTCTGTAGGAGGTATGCTGCTCGATCCAGCTGCTAGATAACTGCTACGAAAATAAGATCACACACTTCATGGGAAGGGGAACATTTTCAGAGGCATCATGAGGTTCTCAAAGTTGATGCTTCGGAGGTTTCGATCGGCAACCTCCAGCAAGCAGGAGCTCCAGTGATCTCTGTGGACGTCAACGATGGGTTGGAAAACCAGATGGATCCTGACACTTGGGATTTTGAAGGCTGTGGATTCTCTGCGTTGGTGGATCTACGCAGAGAGACCAGCATTTTGTTGTCTCAGAGTTTCTCTGCATTGGGCGCCGTGTTGGAAAGAACCGCTGACGGAGCACAAGAGCGACTGCTACTCTACATTGCAGCTGATTTGATTGGTGGTCTCGCCCAGTTCATTGAAGGAAGCTATGAGATTTCTTCCTGCATCATGGGCTGTAATTCCCGAACTGGAGGTGATGGTATTCAGGAACCATACGAGCAACTCTACCAGAGGCTTGAGAAGAAGGTCTTGGCATTCTGCAAGTTGATAGATGCTTCAGCAAAGGTGTCTGATTCAACTGTCCACTTGCGCCAACATCCTCCGTCTCTACCCTCAAAGCGGGCAATGCTGAAAGCAGCAGAAGAAACTTTGAAGGATGGCACAACCGGCAGCAATCACATTTGCAAGAAACTATTTGAGGGCTTCTGATATCAGATCATAGTGTGAGAGTCGAACAGTTTGCGCCTTTTCAGTTTATATATATATATATAGTATAATTGTTTTGCATTCCATTGGCATGTGCACAATATTTTTATTTATACACATGTCCCTTCTCTTCGCTCATAGCCCCTACAGTATTTGCGTTTGTCCTTGAGGATACCAGAAGCCTGGGGATCATTGAAGTCTTCCAGACGCAGTCTGCAGCCTGCAAGCAGGGAAAGACAACGCATTTGGACTTCAAGGCCGGTGAGCCCAATTCATTCAAAGTCTCACTTTTATATTTTCTATTCACCAGCACATTGCCATACTTCGCTCCGTACTCCCCAAATGACCATTCAGGAGCCTGGTGCAGCTGCCACATTTGTGAGCACAGCCTTAACAGTTTGCCAGCTGCCTAGAAAATTCATTGAAGCAGAAGAGATCAAGCAGCATGAATCCGAAGACTCTGGAACATCCCAGAAGAAGATTTGTACACAGGATTTTACATATTTTTTTGTGCAGTGCAATCATGAGAACTGTTTGAGGCTCGACTTTCTCAACAGTTCTGCAGAATCTCCTTGATATTATCCCAGATCTTGCCGGTGACGTTCGGCATATGCCAGGAGGCCTTGCGCATGGATATTGATGGGATTCTTCACATTTCTTTTAAGGTCTTGCACAACTCTCATGGTGGAAGACATGTTTTTTTTCTTTCGCCTGTCGTGCTTGCTTTTTTCGGAAGCCCTCGAACACCTCACCAGTCTCGGGTTTCTTCAGGCTTTCCTGCCTGGACCCAGAAGGCCATGATCGACTTTTTGGAGAGCTCAGAGGCCAACACGGTGGATCTGCAGGAGAGCTCACTCCCAACGATCGGTCGTGGGATGTCGTGGGAACCACGGCCGGTCTAACCAGCCAGGACGCACTCTTTCTGCGTCCAGTTCCTTGGGGAGGCGCGAAGGAACGACCGATTTGAGCCTGCCCAGAACGCGTTGAGACTGTAAGGCTGTTTTACAAACAATATATGTTTTATACATTTTTAATACATATAAATGGTATAACATGCGGTCGAGTCTTCTTTCCAGGGGTCAGTGCGCAGGCTGGCCAGTGCCACGCACATCGCCGCTTTGCAGTGGCTTGCAGCCACCAGGTTCCAACCGAGGAAGCACTTCGTCCGAGAAAAAGTCCTTCGAGTTCGGTGAATCCGTGGTGCCCGATGAAAAAAGGGGCACCTAAAGAGCCATGAAAACTACTGGGCACCGAATTTCTAAGGAGTCCATTAACATCCATTAACATCCATTAACTATATTAATACTGGGCACCTAATGATCCGGACCTGATCCGTTTCTTCTCCCACCTGGCGACTTCCTGCTTATAGCTGGTGAGGCAAGCAGTTCAGGGAGCCGACAGTTCGTGCCCATCGGAAAGATGCGACTGGCATACCCACTTGGCTAGGCGCAGCTTGGCGTGATCATGCTTACTTGTCAGAGTGTGCTGCAATCATCGTAGTTGATTTGAAAGAGACAGCACACACCAAACACGAAAGCACTTCGTTTGTCAAGTTGGAAGCCATTGACACTGATTTTGCCGAGGCCACTGCCAAGCAAATGCTGGAAGCCATTGAAAACTCCGGCAGGTCAGAAACGCTCCGTTTCAACGGATGAAAGCGGTCCTTTTCAGCGGCCAAAAGCGGTCGGCGTCGATCTAGCCATCGGACCCGAGGCCGATCTACCATTCGTACGTGGCGGCAGCGTGCTGAGCTGTCCTGTTCGATGAATCAATGGCTTTGATGTGTTTTGATGTTTGTTTGTTTTGTTTTTTAAAATTATCCAATTTGAGCAAAGCGCACCACTAGCTGCACACAGTACTGTAGCATCGCTTCAAAAGACTCATCAA